CCCCCCCTTCTGCCACCCCTGCTGCTGCAGCTATAGCTGGAGCTGATCGCCTTCGCCTTTTCACGAATAAATCAACGACAAGAGAACGCACCGCCAGGACACGGGCGGCTGTCAGTGGAGAGAGAGGGGGCGAGGGGGGGTAAGGGAGTAGGAAAAGGACTGGCTGCTCCGAGCTGCTCCTCCGGCCGCACTGCGGAACGTCAATTCCAAAGCCAACTTGTCATTCTAAGTAGTGTGCGTGCGCGGCGTGCAGGTCATACTCATAAGCAGTTCTATCGAGGAGCACCCCCCGCCTCGCCCCACCACGCCCCGCCTCACCTCGCCACGCCCTAAGCCGCCTAGCGCTTGTAAGTTAAGCCCTCTACAGCGGTGTTTGCGGAGCAAGGGCAAGCAGCTCATGCGGGGATTGCGGCTACGCAGTGTCAATCAGCACGGGGCGTGGCGGGGCGTGGCGGGGCGTGGCGCAGCAGAAACGTCACCGCACCGCGTATTTATGAACGACAAAACGGATCGCAGCTGCAGCGGCCAGGCGCATGGTTTCCTGGGTCATAAACGTCGCAGTAAGCCCCCGAGGCGCCACCAACTGCTACTGTCATGGGCTTAACGCAAACATAACAGTTCATGAGCCCACCTTCGGGCGCGCGCTATGCGCTCCCAACGTCACCTCACTCAGAAAAACGATTGTTCAACTCAACGAAATTTAGTGTTGAGAAAACCAACAAAATTTTGTTTCCGTCGACCAAATTTCGATCGTGTTGATTGGATAATTTAGTCAGGTCGTTATAAGGTAATCAGTTTGACAATATTTTTGGTTGAGCTGATCACATTTAATTGTAAAAGTTTGATTAAAAGTTTCGTTGGATTTAGGGAGTAAATTTTGTCTCCTTCAACACGAATTTAGTCATAGGGACTAATAGCTTTTCTCGATGCTCATCCTCATGGGAAACGATGTTGTCTTTTTAGTTCTTTTTGTCGTAACGTAACAGTGCACACACTGTGAAAAATAGGTTTTAGGGCAAAATTATGCAAGATGTGTGTTAAAATTATAAAATGACAAGCACTACCCATATCGACTTTGTTCACAAGCGAGAATGAACGGGCAGTCGTAAATTTTAAAAATATTGAGTGAAGTGAATGTACACATTGCAAAATATATCGTGATACGTGATATGACACAGTGTACCGGAGTTGTCACACGTTCTGACGACCCACATCACCGCGCAAGGCGTGGCTTATTGAGGATGACGCGATCACTCGTGGCGCGGGGACGCGTCACTCCCATAAATAATAATGCTAACAACAACAATAATGAAAAGTGAAGGACTAAAACGACCCCAGGCCCCCTCTCCCCCGGTGCTGGACGTAAGTGACTTTCTATCCATCTCTCGTGCTCGCGCCATGCGGGTCCAGGAGGCCGCTTGGGCAGGGCAGGACGTGCCGGGCGAGCGCGTCAGGATATTCACGCCGCGTGGCCTCCTGGAGCCCCGGCCCGGCGGAGCCTGCAGCCTGGAGCTCAGGCCCGGCTGCGGTGGCGGCTCCAGCTCCACAGCCCCCCCAGCAGCCTGCTCCTTGCAGCCTGTCGCTCCACGAAATCGAATCCCATCTCATCATCGCCGCCTGCCTTGCCCGCCCGCCCGCCCGCCCGCCTTCCCGCGCGCCAGACTGACGGGAAAGTGATTCAATTAAGGGCCTGACCTAATCACCGATCTCCATAGGCGATCGATCCGCAGAACGGATTATATGGGCGTGCGGCAAGTCGCGCACTCGCACTCACACACACACACACACACACACACATACACTCACACACACACTCACACACACACTCACGGCGTAGGGCACTTTCATTAAAGCTCCCCCCACCCAGGTCGCATGTGATGTGGGTGTGTGTGCGTGTGTGAATGTTTGCCAGTGCGACTAAAACGAAATACATAGCAGACAGACCACTCTTTTCAACTGCTCAAACTTATCTCCTGCGAAATCCTCTCTCCTGCTGTCAATTGGAAATTGATCATTCCGATAAAATAAAATTATCAAAAAAATATGTAAAACCACAAAAACAGCAGTCTCACGCACATTGGCACACGCGGTGCGTGCGCGTGCAACCAAGTCACCTTCACGGTCACTCGGGGGCAAAGGGCAGAGAAGGAGTGGAGGGGGATTCGCTCAGGGATAGGATTAGTGTATATTTGTTTTTCCTCATCGCTCTGCTCTGAGCGGCACGTCACACATACACATCACACGCCATACAAAAGGAACGCGTAAAAAAAGGATCGAGTGAACGACACACACACACACACACACGAACACACACACGTGGGGCCACCACGTGTGCGTGCGTGGAGTGGGGGAGGGGGAAGGCGCGGTCACTCACTGACGTGAGGGTCTTGAACAAACAGCCCCCCCCCCTCTCCCACCACGGCCATACCTCCGCGGTCGCAGCGCGCGCGATCTTCACGCGATACCGAATTCCATCCATCCCCCACCCTTTTCACGCACACACACACACGTATACACACACTTCACACACACAGTTCACACACGCACACACACATTCCCCTTGGAGAGATTGCGATAGAATTGCACCGGAAACGGGCGGGCGTTCCGCGGGCGGGCACCGCCGCCGCCGGACCCCTATAGCCAGCAAAGCGGCGCCGCACCGACGGAAGCTGTCAAAGCCAAACGTTTCACCGGGCGAAGGAACCCCAGCGTCCGCGCCGCAGCGCCCAGCAGCACCCAGAAGCGCACTGCAACGCACCGCAACGCACCTTCTAGCGCGGGCGTATCGGCACGGTGCAAGCTCTTGTCAAGGTGAATCCTTCAACTACCGGGAATGAGCAGCCCTTTTCAAACCGCTCCAGGCTCCAGCCGAGGAATTGAAAAAAACCTTTTTCCTGAGAAGTTTTATTATTCTCTTCAATTTTACTTGGAATTCTTTTCAAAAAAAAATCTAGAAAAGTGTTGAATCATTTGACGGTAAAATTTTGCACTTTCAAGTCCCTTATTGCTGTCACAGTAGCGCGAACCTTGTGCGACCTTGCAACCACCTCCTCCTGGGTAGGGTGGCCCACGGCAAAAAAATTATCAGACCGGCGGTTAGATATTAAAGATCGAGATGACCCATGCTCTGGGCATTCCAAAACCGCCCCGTTCGTCCTGATCGGACCCCGGGAACCACTCGCTCAACGTCTTTGCATTTTGACATGGGTTTCTTATGGGCTTTTGGGTGTAAAATAGAAAAGCGACCCTGTAGAGTCCATAATTCACCATAGAGCAATATAATTGTGAAATTCGTAATCTACGTTAAAAACTGAATCTGGCAATATAGCGTTCGTTACTGTACCACCTAGTACCCAGATTTGCTACCTCTCATAAATCTCCATATTGTGAAAAATGAGTGAAAATTCAAAGCTCAGCAAATCTGGGTACAGGGTGGTACAGTAACGATCGTTATATTGCCAGATTCAGTTTTTAACGTAGACTACGAATTTCACAATTACATTGCTCTATGGTGACTTATGGACTCTACAGGGTCGCTTTTCTATTTTACACCCAAAAGCCCATAAGAAACCCACGTCAAAATGCAAAAACGTTGAGCGAGTGGTTCCCGGGGTCCGATCAGGACGAACGGGGCGGTTTTGGAATGCCAAGAGCATGGGTCATCTCGATCTTTAATATCTAACCGCCGGTCTGATAAATTTGTTTTGCCGTGGGCCACCCTACCTCCTGGGGGTCGGCGACCTTGACCCGCTCCCCTCATTAGCATGTTCGGCAGACGGACAGACGGACGAACGGACAGACAGACGGACGGACGAACGGACAGACGCGCCGTGACCCGGACCAGCAGCATGCCACACACATGTGAGTACGTGTGCGTGTTAGGTGTGTGTGTTTTACGCGTCATGCAAACCGAAAAATTCCATGGTGGTGTGGGGGTCGGCAGGACGGGGCGTGAGCGGCGTTTTATTGCTGTTGCAAAATAACGCGCACAAATACACAGGCTGGACCCCCCCCCCCCCTTCCCACAAGCACACACACGAACTGTGCGGACGCACCAGTCGATCTCGCGCAGCCATGGGGCTCATCCAGTCCATCTTCCTCACACTGATAAACTAAGAGTGTTCAACTGCTCAACACTTGAAAGCATGTTGAAAGTGAACCACTGCAAGTTCAATACTTGCAAGTGTGCAACTCGGTAGGTGTGCACTTCCAAGTGTGCGACTCCTCGGTGGAGCACTTCCTACACAGTAGGCGTTTAATCTAAGGAAGTGTTCAACGGAGGAGTTGCACACTTGCAAGTATTCAGCTTGCAGTTGCACACTTACAAGCGTTGAGCAGTTGAACACTTAGTTTATCAGTGCAGATTCTGTCGGAAAATTTTGACGGGAGCTCGGCGCCTGCGCAACGTAGGGTAGGCCACCCCGCAATACACGCATGCACTGCAGGCCAGATGTTGCCTACCTACCAGGCGCTACATGAGGTCGCTGAGGCTGAACGCTGAACCTGACATGTTCGTAACGGCCGATGACGAACGTGGACGTACTTTTCTGGATAACCCAAAGGGAAGGACAGGGCGCTGGCCGAGGTACTGGCTCTGGGTGCGGTGTAGAGATAGCTTTGTAGTGCCGAGGAAGGGGGGTCTGCGCACGCTCCACGCCGCGCCCAGCTGGACCAAAAGCAGAGGGACGGCCCTGCCGTGCAGTCCCGCGCAGCTGCAACGGGCGCTGCACTTCCGGCCAGAGGCCCAGCAGCATCGAGGAAAGAGCAACCGTTGAAATGAAAGGCGTGCGAGCTGCATCCGATGTGCACTAATGTTGTTACTGATGTAAATGACACAAAACAAACGCCTTTCATTTTTGGCGTTATTGTGGCCGGTTCCTGTGGGGGGTGGGGGGCGCCTCGCACTATTTTGCTCCCGTACGGCGCACTGTGGACGCTCCCTGGAGCT